TGCAGAAAGGAGGGACTGGGAGACTCATGTTACTGACCCTATGTCAGTGATGGCTGTCTGAATGCAGAGCTATTAAACATTTATTAGAAAATATTGCTTATAGCCCCTTTAATTTTATAAATTGCATTTCAAATTTCACATTGAGATACCCAAATCATGTATCTATGAGCCTCAGATCTGTAGGTCTGCAACTCGAGAGTACCAAAAACATTTAAACCTAATCCCACTTTGCTAAACCCAGCCATGGGTTGTGTGCTGATTTATAAAAAGGGTGTTGATTTTATGTTGGATTTCTCTGGCGATTCTGAGCCTTAGGGTGCTTGATGACTCAGGGTAATGTAGAGGCTGCAAAGAAGCCAGTTTCATCTGGCTGTGGATGACTAATCAGATGTACAATGGACCATAGTGCAGAGATATAACTTGTGATTACTATTGGTTTTCACTTGTGCTTTTTGATTTTACAAAAAAATTCATCAACTGAAATAAATGGGACATATCTGTTGTTTTCTCCCAGTTTTGTTGCCCCTGGCATGTTGAAAGCCCTTTGAAGGGAAATCCTTTACCCCTTGAGTCTAGTTGACCTAATTTGAATGAATGTAATTTCTGCAAGTGAGCATTTGTGCATAATAAAGAAAGGCATTTTTGTCTCCTTTGGCTGACAAAAGCTAAGCCAAACTCCAAAGAGTGGAAACCTGCAGGCCAACTAACTGTCAAAGGATCATGGAGGTGTTGCTCGAAGCAAGAGCATGGCATGAAGAAACCCACTGAAGAGAGGCAACAGGACGGGGTCGAACACAAAGTGCACCTTGGAGCTTCTGAAGAACCTAAACAGTTCAGAACAACTGGCTAAATGAGACATAACAAAACAATACCCTTGGCTAAATACAACAAAGGGTCACAGTGATATGTTTAAAATATAAATAGTCAAGACGAGATATAAAGCACACTGGCATGATTTGATTAAGCTTTAACTTGACTCCCTAGAGTATAGAAGGGCAAAATAATCTCACAAGTCAGCCTGAGAAGCTCTGCATGACTGCGAGGTTTAGTGTGAGCTACTTACTGAACTCTGGGAAATGACAGCTGCCGAATAAATATCCTCATGCATGCACAATTGTACAGGCCTCAAGGTGACTTAATCAAAGCTTAAAGCCGTTTGACAGTGCAGCTCAGCAGTCACATACTGAGGCCTGCTCAGGTGGCAAAAGCGATAAGCCCAGCTCATTGTAGCTTTTTGACTCCCAGTTCATTTGGCTGAAGATTTGAGCAGTCTGAGTGAGAGTCCAGTCTGTTTATGCCCTGCTGCTAGCCATGACCTACTACTCTGAGTCATTGTGCAACAAAACATTAGAACGGCATGTTGAACACATGCCTCATGGAGGAAAACCTTTGACCACTCCACGGTGTCTGAACTTGGTGGCAGTGCTCAGATATACAGTAGCAGTGGTTAAACCCACCAGTTCATTGCTGTGTGTAATAAGACCATGTTAAAATACTGTAAATGAGCTCTCTGGGGGCTGATGCAGGCAAGTGTACTACAATTAATATGCTAAACTAAATGACCTGTTGTCTTTGTAAATATCTGCCTACATCGCAGTGCGAACTCGGCTTCCACGCTGAGCCATGACGAATGCTGTGTGTTATCAGAAGCAGAGAACTGTCCATGTATTGTGAAAGGTAAATTGAAAGCACATATCTTATAAACAGTGTTTGCTAAAGCAGATCATTATAGTGGGCTGAGCTCAAACAGAGACACTGCAAATCCAACTGTTGCACTGTAGATAAACAAATGGCTTTGCACTGTTGATACTGGCTTTCTGACTCGCATCTCTTTGTTGTATACTAAATTTTCACCCGGCCCCACTGTAAATAAGGACACAACTCTGAATGCTGATTACTCTTGTTAGTATATACATATAATAAAGGAAAATATGTTACCTATATAAGGAGAAATAGCGGAATTGATTGCTGCAGAACTGTTTTTACCAAGCTGTTCTATGTAATCTGTGTGATTTTGACATTGATTGGTAATTAATAAGAAATAATGTTTAAACATACATATTAGCATAATAGTGATAGTGAAATAATTACATTCAGTGGTAATTGCTTGTGTGTATATGCAGTGCTATATATGTACTGTATGCA